GTTGTAAAACGTGTTCATTGTAGCTAACTATGTATGTGTGCGCGTGTGTGTGTAGTGTTTCAACAATCTGAGATGTGTGCAGAAGCGGTTAAATGATCGTAAATAGTTAACACAGTTGTTTAACCTTCTTGTGAATGGGTTATCTGTCATTTTACTGGTATATACAAGCGTACTTGCGTGTGTGTATCTGTTTGGGTATGTACGAGTGCACGCACGCACGTACGTACATAAAATGCGTACTTGCACAAGTATTTATCCACGCTTTATAAACTAATTTCAGGTATAATGAGGTCATAACAAAACCAAGAAGAAGATGGTGACATCAGTGGACAAAGATTGTTGTGAACTGTCATGTATGTATGTATGTATGTATGTGAGAGAGAGTGTGTTTTTGTAAAAGTACTTACATCACATTCATCTTAAGGTGTTGTAAAACATAGAAAAAAGATGAAAGTAAAAAAGGCAAATGCATGTTCCATGTGATAAGTGATGAATACTTGCCAGAATATATATATACATATATATATATATATATATATATATATATATATATATGCTTCCTAGAAAAGATGACATGAACTTGTGTGCGTATGTGATGGGGAAGGGCTGGTGTTGATAAAAGGAAATACTTTGTTTAGTTTTTACGAATTGATCATGGACTGATATCGGTTAGAGAAACATTGAAAACCACAGGAGAACACTAGACAGCTGTTTTATCATATTTTGGGAATCCTCAGCAGTACGCACTCACTGCCAGGGTTTGAATCTCGAGTCTCCTTGTTACAAAACGAGCTCGTACACCATTCAGCCACTGGGATCCGAATCGGTGGCCAGCCCATGAATTCTAGCCTCTACTAATTCATATTTCTCTTTGTGAAACGACATGGATATTACCTTTGCACTTAGAAATCATGAATGTTTATTCAGATTCTTTGGGTTAATTATCTTCTGAACACGACTTTCTTTCCCTACCAGTAAGTCATTTACCTAGAATTCTTCTGTACTGTATACGTACATAATTAAGGAATTGTTTGTATTGACTGTGAATATGGGCTTCGTACGTATAGTTCTGTCAAGCTATTCATCTTTCTGTCTAATTGGTGGAATACCAAGAGTGTGCAGTGGACTGGCATACTCTTCTGCGTAAGTGGGTTTGGGAGAAGCAGCATTACATCAACAGTACACTCGTATTCACGTCTTCACCAGTGATGTTAAATGTATCATCAAAACTTATTTTCAGTTTGGTTGATTATATTTGTCCGAAATGTTCAGTTCTCGATGATATTAAGCCTCCAGCACGGTCACTTAGAGGATATCTGAGGATAATACGATGTGATTGGTGGATGATAACTCTGCCGTCGCCTGAATGGCCTCTTGGATAACAGTTTGGTGTTTGAAACGACGGTTGCTGGGTTTTAGTCTCATTGGGAGCGTTGTCACTCACTGGGGATTGCAAACACATCCAACTGACAAGTCACAAACAGGCAAAATGTGCATCCTGGGTCCCACTACTAGTCAGCATCCATCAAACAGCATCATGCGTACAACTAAGTGATGGTATATTTCAATAATCTACTTTCAGTTTTCGTCAGAAAGTAGTCTGTTATCACCGGATGTGATAGTGGACTCGCAATGGTTCTATATGGTAATCAATCATCTGAGGAGTGTTAGATTCAGGGATTTCAATATCAATTGGTCTTTCTCTGATATGCCGTCATTTGTAATCAACTGTCTCAGGAACTGATACATTTGTAAATAGTGATGAAACATTTTTGCGAAGGCATACATTCAGATACTACACTAGATACAAATACTGCTGAGATGAGGTCAAAAAAATCATTAATCATATACGTGACAAACTCTTTGTCTACGAGTCCAAAAAATTAAACTAACCGCCTATGTGTGTATTCTGTCAGGAGTAGGGGGAATCTTAGTGTATGTACTTTAGGCAGACTACAGTTTTAGTGTACATACTATTTGAACTTTCAAGAATTAAATTTTAAGGATTCTTTTTGTCTCAGGTTAGATCACGGGTCGATATCAGTCTGAGAGCCAATGAAACCACCAGCAAGGAGTACTGGATAACTATTTCGTCCTAGTTTCCAATTCATCGGCAGTAGGCAATCACTGGGGTCCATTCAGTAGGGAGTGAGGGTGGATGTACCACCGATGACATTGGTTGGTGGTCATGCTAAATACATCACGAATGGGTAGAAATTAGAATCTATAGGTTGGCCATTGAGTCGGGTCCCAGTAGCTGAATAGAGTATGAGCTTACCTTGTAACCTGGAGGTCCTGGGGCAGAATGCTAACAGTGGGTGCGTACTGATGAAGAGTCTGCAGCTAGAATGAAACAGCTGTCGATTACTCTCTGATTTTCAGTGTTTCTCTAACTGATATCAGTACATAGTCAACTCGTAAAAATAATAACAATAGCTTTATTTTAAAAAGTATGTTTTGGTTCAAATACGAAATTATCAGCCATTGGGACCCAATCCAAATGGCCTATTAATTCTAACTTTTGCCAATTCGTTATGTATATAGCGCAACCGACAGTCGATATCATAGGCGAGTAACTGTCCTCTGATCAGACTTGGTGGACCGCGCTGATTATGACTCCTCTAACTGATGTCAACTATTGATCAAACTTGTAACCAATCTATTCCCTGCAAAATAACAATTGCTACTTAAACTGATGCTCATTGGCGGCTGATTCATGAAGGTCCTTGGTTCGAGTCCCAGTGGGTGAGTAGTGCTGAGAAGTCCCAAACTAAAATAAAACAGTTGAGTCAAACAAAGTGTGACTAGTTGGAGCATTTATTATGCAAGAATTGTTTTGTTCATATGAATCCCCTCTAGACTTCCGAAATTTAAAATAAAATCAGATTAACTCGTTTAAGACAAATATTGATATCTGTCACAAAGTGTATTTATAAATCCTATCCCCTTGGGTTTGAAGTGGTTCATAGAGCTTGAACAGCAGGTCTTCATCTAACCCTATTCTATGCAGTCCTTCTTAGCTGGCACTACGATTGCTCATAAGCTCCCATCTCCATATTACCCTCGGACACATAGCCAATTCGTATTTTCCCACTTCATTAGCACCCGAGGGCCTGGTATGTGGCGTTATTTAAGTGTCTCTTCGGTTTTTGACCAATCAATCTTAGCTTACTTTTGATGTGTTTCTTGAAGCAAAGGTTGTTGGTTTGTTCGTTGCTAGAGTTCCTCTGTGCTAGTCATTTCTGGTTATCGGATTTTTAGTATGGAGAGAAGAAAACTAATTCTCGGTGAAAGTTCATAATAGATTATTGGAAATACTTTGTACTGCAAAGTTATTCAACATTACCTAATTGGCTTTCGCTTGAATTCAAATCGTTTTATTAAAAATAAATTTGGTTGGTTTTCGCATTTCACAACCTTAATAACGATGAAGGCCAAAGTAGCACAATTTAATTACAAGCACCTTATTATATTCAGCTTTCTAACTAAACGCTAAACACCTCCTACCACTGACTGTTTTGCGCTTTATTCCTTATTTGATATGAAACTAAAACTTGGGCACCGTGTGATAGAATACAGTTCTGTCTTATTATTATTATCACTGTTCCCTTGTATTCCGAAGGGAATATAGGGCTTCATCAGCATCTCTCCACTTCGTCCTATTTTTTCCCTTACTCCTCATTAGCTAGCCCTACTTTCTCCAACAGTCTCTAATCTTACCATCAGACTTACGCCCATCTCGGATTCCACCCAAGGACCTGGTACGTGTCATTCGATGGTCTCCTTAGCGTGTGCACCTTCCATCTCTATTTTCTTACAATTTTTTGTCAGGCAATCAGCTCTTGGTTGGTTGCTAATTCTTTCTGGTCCGCCATTCAATCTTCAATAAGGAACCAACGAAGGCAGATGCTGGAAATGCTTTTCGTGACGCGAAGTGCAAGTTTCTGACCCATATAGAAGAACTGACTGGATTTACCTGGGTGTTGAAAATCTTAATCTTGTTCTTTTTGATAAGCGCAGAAGAGTACCAGACTGAGTTCAGAGTGATGAAGGCATACCTTGCCTTTCCAATTCTGTTCCGCTTGTAGTTGAAACGATCCTTTCAATTGAGAATAATCCTGTCTCATGAAGACACTCATAGTGATACAGTATTATTTACTGGTGACTTTCCAAAGACAATTTTATTGCCCTTAATCATATCAAGGTGTTCGCAAAACCTTCAAACATCGTTTATATAATTTTGCTGGTGGTAATATTTTCTATATCCTCATTATTGACGTTATGTCATTCCTGAAGCAAGTATTATGTGTAGACTCAATGAATAAAGATCCAGTTGTCATCATTTACCTCCACTTGTACATATTCCTTTTCAAAACTTTAGCTCTCTCCTAACCTATCGTGTGTTTATGTGCGATTGCTGAGTTTTTCTCAAAACTCCTCCTCTTCGCGGAGCCAGTCATCATTCTACACTTTTTTACTACAGATTGATTCCACACCGTATTTTTGATACAAGTATGGAATTTTTAGCATGTGATATCGGTGGCCCAAATTTTACAGGCCGACCAACTGATAACAGGTGTGCGTTAACAGGGGATCGAACCTCGGACCATGTGCGTGGTCGGTGAACGTCCTAACCTCTGTGCCACCGACGTACAATTCCTATAATCCTTCTATCTTTGATCTACTAGTCTGACTTATGTAGTTAGCTTCATAGTTATTGCAATGCATTGGGTAGATCAAGTTATTTTGTCCAGTTATGTCAGAAATGGGTACTTTAGTCTACAGAGCTCGACCTTAAGTGGGTCCATAATTAAATTAAGAATCCCAAATAGGGTTTCAGATGTCCCCTGTTATATGATAAAACTACTGTAGATGCCTTAGACTCCCTGTCTTGTTTATGTCAATCTGTTTTGTTGTCTTTTTACTATACACAGTTCAATTATCGCTAAATAATAATCACCTTTTCTTTTCTTTTTTTTCCTACTTTATTCTATGAATAGAGAGTCAATGAATTGGTATATTCACAGATTGAATAACAAATGTTCACATTAAATGTTCAACAAGACTTAAAATGGATAAAAGAGTAAATAATCCAACTGAAGGGGAAAAGTCAGACTTGAACACTTCAAACCAATCAATACCACATGTAGACTCTCCACATGATTTAAGTTATCACTTACAAAGATTTAAGCGTTATTCACACATTCTAAAGAATGAATCCAGTTCAGATAGGGATAGTTTAGAAATATTCCGCTCCGTTGATTCATCGAAATTTTTAGAGAATGTAGGCAATATTAAACCATCTGTGAGTAGTAGTTGGATGACTGTAAACTCCAGTCTTGAACATGTTGATACTACACAACAAGAAGAAAATAAAAGTGATCGAAATCAAAATATTCATAGTAATAATGGTAATAATAATAATAATAGCAGAAAAACTACTGAGCGAAATGAAACATTCTGTAAACTTAATGAAGACTCACCTACTTCTTCACTACAGTACTACAGTTGTGATGCACTCCAGTTTGGTGAACAAACAACAGCTGGTAATATGAATAAGACAGATACAGGAAACTTTGAATATCTTTCAAAATCAGACAGTAGTGTTCCAATGAATCAAACTTCAAGAAATAATCGACAACAAAGTCTACAGCTGGATAGATCAGGTCATCCAGAGGGTGATAGACGTCGATATGAAATTCGTAAACATTCAAGATCATTTCTTATATCTAATAATCATCTTAGACGAACAAATTTTTTAAAGTATAAAAATAGTTTTAGATACAATAATAATAAGAGTAGTAGTAATAATAATAATAATCGAAATAAAAGCAACATTGAAGCTGTAGAGTTAACTGATAAAACTCCGTGTACCCTGAAACGTACTGCAACTGAGCATATATCAAATAGGCGTAAAGATGAGACTTTAATTAATCTATCAGATAATACAGGCTCTTCAATCATCTGTTCACCAAATGATAGTATAATCATTCCAGATAATGCAGTTATTATACGACGTAAATCAATCATTCGATGTCTACTCCCAAGACAACACAGTGATCCGTCTAAGGCAGATTTACCACCTCAACAACATCAACAATCACAACATCAACAACAACAACAGCAACAATCTCATTATTCAGATTCTGATGGAAAAGATCAACTTTTTACTACACAAAACATTAATACGCATGATCTTGGTTCCAGATTAAATGAATATAGATTAAGTGAAAATTTGAAATCCTCTTTTGAAAAAGAAGATGATACGAAAGCTGAGAATTTACTTGAGCGTGAAGCACATATTGGTGCGCTGGCATTGGCTTGGGCATCAGGTACTCATAAATCAAGGAAATCTTTATATGATAAACATTCAACAAGGAGAAAAATGTCTGAATCTTCACAACGAAAAATAAGACGATATAATAATAATAGCGCTAGTAATAAATCAACTCATATCAGTGCAGATAATAGTTATACTGCTAGAACGGATCTATCTACATTGAAAGAACTCAGTGCATCAATTTTCTCACCACCTAAGATAAGTCCATGTAAGCTAACTATTCTTTTTGTTGTGTTGTACTTTACTTCTGTTTTAGTTTTCATGTGTTAATTTGCAAAGGTTTCATTGATTTCAGGTTTAATCAGGGAACGATGTCAGTTAGAGAAGTTGTGATCAGTGGATGACTAGTCAACAAGATCACCTCGTAGCCTTTAAAGTCCTAGGTTCGATCCATGTCAGTGGATTCACAAAGACATTCCTCTGAAGAGCTCTAAACTAGGACCAGACAACTGTCCAGTATTTCCTAACTTTCTCCGATTCTGTCACAGATATCAACCTGTGATCCAAACTGAAACCAATCAAATATTTACAAACTAAGTCTTGCAAAATATTCAAGTATTGGTTTATGGGGATTTGATTCATTGGTTACACGATTTCATCATGAGGACCATTGAAAACCTGGAAGTACTGGACAGGTGTTTCGCCATAGTTTGGAACTCCTCATCAGTACACACTTACCCCCACCGGGGTTCGAACGCATGACCTTCTGGTTACAAGGCGAGCTCGTAGACTATTGAGCCACTCGCTGAGACCCGATACAATGGTCCATGAATTCTAACTTCTGCCAATTCACGATTTAGCGCAACCGCTAACCAATGTCTTCGGCGAGTATTTGTCCTCATACACGACCTGCTGCACCCTACTTGTCATGACTTCTCACCAGAAACTAGGTAACTACCTACCTGAATAGGGCAAGTCGCTATTGAGCATCTCATTGATATTCATACTTGAAGACAAATACTCGCCGAAGACATCAGCTAGTGGTTGTGCTATGTCTTGAATTGGCAGAAGTTAGAATTCATGGGCCATTGGATCGGGTCTCAGTGGCTTATTGGTCTACGAGCTCTCTCTCCTTGTAACCAGAAGGTCGATTGTTTGAAACTCGGTTGGGTGCGTACTGATGAAAAATCACAAACTAGGATGAAACAGCTATCCAGTACTCTTAGGTTTTCAATTGTTTTCTAACCAGTTTCAGCTTATGATGAAATCCTGTAAAAACAACCTGGTGTTTACTATAGGTTGACTACAGGATTACTTTGTCTGGAGTTTTAGTCAGAAGTTATGATCAGTTAGAGTCCACAAGGTCGAATGTGATGAAAAATGCTAGCTGATGACATTTGCTAGTGATGGCACCGTGTATCTCAATTCAACAGAAGCCATAACTTATTGATCAGCTGTTTGATTCTATCCTAGTGGTTCAAAGGTCATCAAGCTTACCTCGTAACCTGGAATTTCCAGGAGTGATCCCTGACAGTAGGGTCTTGATTGAGTACTGATAAAGAATCCTATGTTGAATGAAACAGCTGCCCAAAACCCCCTCTGGTTTTCACTGGTTCTGTGACTGATAATAATCCGTGATCAAACTTGAAATCAATATTAGCTATCAGTAACAATCTTGTATATGATAACAAATCCAAAAGCACAAGGATACATCTAGACTGTTCAATTATTGTCTTATCTAACAACGACCAGCGTTTCTTGCTTTAGTTCAACATAATTTGAACCAGGCTGAGAAGATTGAGGAGACAGTGATTAACGGGAAAACTAGCTACGTGTCACTAAATCACGTGACACATCGGTGTCTAAAATAAAATTAGAGCTTCATGGATGTTTAAATCTTGTAGCCTTATAATTACAGCTTTTGGGTAGATAGACCTAAAGATGTGGCTTCAAAGCCCACAGTAATAATGGGTTTAGTTTCATATCGATACCATTATCTAGTTTACACATCTTTTTTATTCCGTTACTCTCCCAGTGAAACATAGGGCTTCAAGCTAGAGCTCTGAAGTTTCGGCAGAAGTGATGTTATTCTTTTTTACGGGGAGGGATTGCTGGCCTCACGCCTAACCTCCTCTCTTTACTAGACTTACTACCAGCCATGCGAGGTAAAAAGGAGTGCATCTGCTGGGATTCAGAACCCGAACCATTTTGATGGTTGGCCAGTATTCTGTCACTGAACCACCGAGATCTTCATGCAATTGTCGTTATTCAGACTGACCAGTTAACGAGTTAAAGTTTGCAACCCATCACAGATGATTATTTTTCGAATTTAGAAAATGGAGAAGATTTTCTCTGCATAAATGAAATATTTATCAAAAAATCAAAGATATTGATTTGCGTTATCAAACTACTTATTCTTAACCCTTTTCTGCTGCCCCACCAACTCATATTCATCTTGACAACTGAAAGATAACAGTATTATTATCAGCAAGTTTTAACTGTCCTAACCTACCAGAAAACCATTTCTAGTCATGATGGAAAAATTGTTTAATCTTATCAAACCATCACAATTTTTTTGTAACAGTGTTAGTCAAATTGTCAGATACTTTTATTTTCAATGTAGATTCCGTCACGACCCAACGTCATTTAGACACTGATTGAAAACCAAGGAGAACAGGACAGCTGTTGCGTCTTAATTCATCGCTGATTTTGCAGCGTGCACCCGTGATGTTGAAATTAATCTAAATATCAGAAAACACCAAACTCAGAATAACAATCTCTAGCTCACCGAAGCATAGTAGATGGGTACCTTCCTGTTCCAATGAGGAGTACTCACCCATAGGGTTCATCATTGTCAAAGTTAAGCGGATGCTCACAGATAGCATTGGTTCTATGGTAGGTCGAATTCACTAGTCAGTAAATTTCCACCGAAAGGGCTTGATGACTAGCAGGTGGGTCTTGTAATCTGGCCTAGAAGACTCTCAAGCTAGTCGAAAGTAACTACTGTCAAGGGTTCCACAGCTTTCAATCCCCGCCTAACAGATATTATTTCGCGTTGAAATCCTTAGAATACCCACAGAAAAATTTGAAACACTTTTATACTTTTACAAAATTTAATGTCAACCTTTACCACCCACCACCACATACTTGAATTCATCCAGACAGTTTACCTACAGACAAAAATTCTTCCTGAGATATACACATAATAATAGCAGTAATACTGACATAGTAAATATCAAAAGTGAAAGAATTCTGTCCAGCGATCGATTGATTAGTTCAACAAAGAATTATGGATGTTTTATGGAAGCTAAGAAGAAAAACACGACTACAACATCAACTTCAACATCACATTAACCCTAAATAGATATACCTCAGAATGTATGTTTATTTTTAGAGAAATTCACGTGTCAAACTGGCTTGATTTCTGTCTGCCTACCTATAATGTATGTGTGTATTGCAATATGACATTTAAACAAGTTTTGGTATCATTGAACAAATAAATGTATTTCACTTCCAGTTTATTGGAAAAGAAATGAAATAGACTTTAAAAATATGTTATAGGTAACATTTTCAAAAAGTGTAAGTGTGTATATGTACAGCGGGGAAAAACTGATAGAATCCAAAGGAGAAGCTTTTATCGAATGCAGAATGAATATTGTTAAATTTTGAGTTAGATGTTTGAAAGAGGTTGATAAGGAGTCTCCAAACTAGGTATTCTGCTTACTGGTACTCGTTAGTATCTAGTATGTATCTATAACCTAGAAGAAAGTGATGCCCCAGGGGAGATCCAAGCCCGCACTGCCCAGTACTACAGTCAGATATATTGCCAATGAGCTGTTCTCACTCATGACTATAATAGAGACATTAATTGATCATTGTAAATTAACTAATATCATTTATCTGTTACGTGGTCCTGATTGAATTCTGCTGACGGTAAGTTTCCTGCCAATTGTCTGTTACTGACAAATCTGAAGTGTAGCTTAATGACTAGATGTCTATGTTGGCGACTTTATTCCACAGTTGACTGTTTACGTGCATCGGTGTCACAGTGGTAGAATGCTCGCCAGGCATGCATGTGGTCCGGGTCTCGATCCCCGGTCGACACACTCATCCATCTCGCTAAGCCAGGGATAAGACTGGTAAAGAGGGAAGGTTGAGCATGAGGCTAGCAACCCCATCCTCTAAAACTATACACCACTGCTACAGAATTTTCAGGTCTCTACAATGAAGCACTGGGAACGTAAAGGAATAAAAAAGATGAAATAAAAAAATTCGATTAGCACCAACACTAAGCAAGGACTGGAGATATGACATCGGTTAATCTCTAGCGTCCAACAGTTAGTTTCCTTTGTTCTCAACTAATGTGCTCTTCTACATTTTTATAATGACACTCCATAATGTGAACTTCTGTGTATCCGGTATTTTTTTTTCAATCACTCACACCATAAATAAACTTTACACAGTCCTTTGAATTCTATTCTTGTTTCGCTTATCGGAGGAAAGATATATCACAGATGTATGGTCTCACTGATCAAACAATAAGCTGTACTTCAAAAGGGAGCTACCGTCCCACTAGTTAAAACTATTCTGAATTATTCAGCGAAAATTTGCTGGGTTGCGCAATTACTTCTACAACAGTTCTATTCAAGATACTTTAAGCTGACTATCAGTAAGAGATAACATTTATATATGTCCAAACCAAGTTCACTTTTAACGGTTTGAAAAAATTTGGGCATTGAGTATATGATATTCATTATCATAAAGGTTTTTGTATTTCCCAATGAATGAAAAACAAAACGATATTGCTTTTACTGACGTTTCGCTATTTAATGCTGCTAATAGCTTTATCAAAGTATTATTAAACCGGAATTTATAAAATCACAGCATATATATAACAAAGAGTTAGGGCTGAGAAAATGGACTTAGGTCAAGTTAAAAGGACATATTGAAAGTCAAAATAACAATGGAGATCAGTAAACCAAATATCAAAGGTAGTAGTACATCTGTTATGATATCAAAACAAAGTTCGTTGGTCTGGGGTCGTTTTTTGTTGTCAAGTTGGTGAATTGGTAAAGATAACAAAATCAAGTGTAGATTGTTGGATTTCATCAGTGTGTGAAATGATAAAAGTAGCGTGTGTTTACATAGTGAACTTGCTTATTACATTCATGTTGATTTTGTCACTTCATGGGGAAGGGAGGTGTTGTAACCAGGTCAGATTCTATTTCAGTCCATCATTCCTATTTGTCAGACAATTTGGATTCCAAT